AAAAAAAAAAAAATCACTCTCCCGTGAGTCTACTGTGACGTAATTAGCACCGGCCCGGTGTGGTGGCTCCCGCCAGTAACCTGAGTGTTTTGGGAGGCCGAGGACAGAGGATCGCTTGAGGCCAGGAGTCGGAGACCCGCCTGGACGACAGAGCAAGACCTTAGAAACCGGTTTTTCTGTCAAAACGCAAAATGCTTTGTGTTTTGATAGAAAAACTGGCCCTGATAGCAGCAGTGGGGTCCCCAGTCTTGGCCGGAACATGCGCCATCGGGGAGCCCGGGGCCCTGACCCTGCCGCGTGGGTGGCGCCTGTCTCTGCAGAGTGTGTCCCCCTCGCCCCCTGAGAGTCTGGTGGAGGAGGAGCGACCGAGTGGCCCTGGTGGCACTGAGAAGCAGAGGGCAGAGGAGAAGGACCTCTCGGCACCTTATGTGAGTCGGGGGCCGTGGACGCCTGTGGTAGGCCTGCGTGGCCCACACTCCCCGCCGCCCTGACCCCTCAGAACCTTCCAGAACCCGGCTCTGGCCACGACTCTCTCCCTCCAGAGCCTTCCATGGCTCCCTAGCGCTCAGGTCACCAGCCAATCAGAAGAGAGCCAGTGGTGCCAGGCCTACCTCTTCGGCGGCTGGAAGTCTCTGTAGCCTCCGGGCCACGCAGCTGAGTCCCCATCCTCTGACTTTGGCGCCAATGGCTTCCTCCCCCAGAGCCATTTAGAAACCAGTCTCTCCATCAAGAAACAAAAAATGCTGGCCGGGCACGAGGGCTCAGGCCTCTCATCCCAGCACTTTGGGAGGCCGAGGCAGGAGGATTGTGTTGAGCCCGAGATTTGGAGACCGGGTTGGGTAACAGAGCGAGACCCTGATCAAAAAAAAAAAAATCATAATAAGGGCACAGAATGCTGGCTCCTGCAGGAAGCCTTCCCTGATTTCCCCCTAGAGGGTGGGGATCTCTTCTTGTTACGACTGCCACACGCACCGGGGCCGTGACCAAGGGGCAGTGGGCCAGGCGGGGAGCCCCTCTGTCTTCCAGAGCAGCGGCAACCCGGTCCCTTGAAGATGGAAACCGGGCTTGGAATGAGATTCAGCCAGAGCCCGCCTGCTGGGCGGATTTGGCCGCCGGGCTACCACGGCGCTCTTCCTGCGTGTCCAGCCAAGCCCACATGTCAGGGTCCCGTCCCACCCCCGTCCCTGAG